TCCTTGTGTCGGGTCGCGCGGTGCCAGAGTCTGTCCCTCCGCCCTCTCCCTCCGCGCCGGGGCTCCTCTTGCACCTGCCTGCACCTTCCCCGCGGGCGGAGGAACTTCTCACCCTGCCCACACTGGCGCCGGGGCCGGCCCGCGACGTTCGGTCGGCGCGGGCGTCTGCGGCTCGCGCCTGGACCCGGGGCCGCCGCGATGGCGGGAATCGGCCCTTCCGGGGCCGCGGCTCCCGGTGGGGTGGGTCCGGCGTGGAATTAGGTCAGGAGAGCACTGGTTGCATAAGGGCCGCGAGCGGCCCGGGCCGGGCGGCCCCTCCTCCGCGCGGGCGGGATTGTGTAACGGCTGAGGTAACCGAAGTGGGCCACGCTCGCCTCGGAAACCATCCCGCGAGCGTGTGCGGGGGGAGGGGAGCGTTCGCGCCCCGCTGCCCTGTGACTCATTGTCACCGCTTCCTATCACACGATCCTCGGCTGAAATAGATGCCCCCCCCCCCCACTCCGCCCGCCCGCCGCCTGCGCCCTCTCCTCACACCCCTACCCCGCCAACCCGGCGGGCGACCGGGCGGCGCAACTGCTCGGGAATCCCCGGGGACCGCGGGCTGGCCACGGAGGGGGGCGCGTCTCGGTCCCCTGCTGCCGCGGGCTGCGGGAGGACGGACGGGTGGGCTCGGCGGCTTCAAGGGCAAAGTGGGCAGCCCCACGGTTCTGGCCGCACCGGGGCGCCCGAGCTCCCTCGAGGGGCCGCTCCCGCCAACCCTCCGCGTCCCGACCCAGGAAGTGGCTGCCGAGCTGCGGGCGGGTAGTGCCCAGCTCAGGCCAGTCGCCCGGAGCTCGGCCGGGGCGGGGCGCGGCGTCCGGCGAAGCGAGCCGGGGAGGAGGCGGCAGGGCCGGGCAGACCGGGATCTGGAGATCCCAGGGTGCCCTGAGCCCAACTCCGACGGGTGGAGGCGGGGGAGGGCTTGAGGCTCCACGTGTTGACTTGCTACCCGAATTTGCAACAGGTAGTAGGGGAGGGGGAGGAGCGCGGTCTGGCGGTGCAAGGTTGCCAGGAGAGGTAATAACCCCCCGCCCCCACGCACATCCTGTGCGCAGGCAAGGCGCGGTGGGAGCCGGCACGGGGCTGGCGAGTGCCGCCGATCAAAAGGGATGGTATACGCTCTAAACTGCTAACGTCTGGACAGCGGGTAATGGGGACCCAAGGAAGTCCTCTGCACGGCCCTGGGGAAAAATCCCGCGAACTGTGTTGGAGCCCAGTCCCTGGGCAGGAGCGGGGCAACCTGGAGACAATGGAGGTCACTTAAACCCAGATCTCCAAGGGAGGTCCCATTCTTTTTAGCCATACCTCAAGGGCCAGGAGAGCCCCTTCCCGCTGTCTTCCTCCCCCTTTGTTGCTGCCACCGCTTTTCCACTGGGAGTTTCTTCCTTCACCTCTGTTAATCTGAGCCGTCAGGGTGAAAAAATCGTGACAGCCTTACCTTTTTAAGAGGTAAGGAGCCTCCCCAGCAGGTATCTCTGCGCTGAAGGATGGCCAGTGTCCGCTTATTATTCTGTGTAGTGCACACCCTTCAGAAAAAGGAACATGTCCCCCGCCCCAACTTCAACGCTTCCAAGGTCTGACCCGCTAGCTGTATGATTTGGAGCAGATGCCTTCTGCTCCCTGGGCTTGATTTTCCTCATCTGAAGAATGGGTTGGTTGAACCAGGCGATCTCTAAAGGCCTGTCCAGCCCTGGCATCTAGCGATTCAAAGTGTTAGTGAGAGCCAAGCTCACTTCATTCCCAGCAGACTTGTTCAGGTTCATTCACATTTGGCCATCTAATGAGAGGACAAAGCCTTGCAAGTGCATTCAGAGAACTTCATAGGCACTGGGCTTGGTAGACAGAGGTGTTGCTAATGTCATGAGTAGACTAACCTGGACTTGTCTTCCTGGTGGGCAGGCTGGGGGTCACATCTGGCCACCTCCCTTTCTCTCCTCCCTGGCCTATTTCCTCATGGGTGATACCTCCCTCAGAAGCCAGGCTGCCCATGGGTAGCCATGCATAGCCGCGATGGAGGGGGCCAGGGTTGCCCCATGTCAGAGCGGCTAATGCACCGCTGACCCCACAGGCCCACTAAAGAACCACTTGAGAAAGAAGCAAAAATCACTTCTTTATGGGGTGCCTAGATGGCTCAGTTGGTTCAACGTCTGACTCCTGATTTCAGCTCAGGTCATGATATCAGGGTTATAAGATGGAGACCTGGGTGTGGAGCCTGCTTGGGATTCTCTTTCTCCCTCTCCCACTGCTCCTCCTCTCTCTGTCAAAATAAATAAATGAATGAATGAATGAATGAATGAAAGTAAACATACTTAAAAAATTATTTCTGTATAGTTGGGAAAGCTCAGACCCAGAGTGGCTGGGGAGCAGGGGGAAGTGTGGAAGGCAGGGCAACATCAGGGCTGGAAATGGAGCCTAACCCTTTGGATCCCCAGTAGAAAAATCCTAGATAATTTGCCATTTGCTCAAGATCCATTCTCAGTAGAGGACTTAGGTTTTTGCCCTGGGACTACTAATGAGAGCTTTTTTTTTTTTTTCTCCTCATTCTGGCAGCTCCAAATGACCACTTGCTTTATAGCAACCGGTCTCAAATTTATTTCACCTTGGAGTCTCATGAGGATGCGCTGCACGATGCAGAAATAGCATGTAAGCTCCGCCCACTGGGTTTCAAGGTGAGTGGAATGGGAGGGCTGGGCATGAGCTGTGCTATAGACGGGAATTGGCAGGAACGGCTGCCTTCTTGAGGGTTTGGGGCACTAGAGCTCAAGCAGAGCAGGGAAAAGGCTCTGCTAAGGAGCTGGGGATCCCTTGGCTAAGGGTGACTCAGAGGTCTGCAAGGGAACTGGATTCTTCCCCACTTTACTTCTTCACCCGATGACCTGCTGAGCAGCTTAGGCTTTGTGACTCTTCGCACATGGACTTGGCAGTCAGACCGCCTGCGTTTATGCCCCAGCTCTGCTCCTTCCACCAGCTGTGTGGCCCTGGGCAAATTGCTTAACCTCTCTGTGCCTCATCTCCTCGTCTGTAAAATGGGGGGGGGTATTTAAAGCACCTACTTAACAGGGTCCTTCGTGAGGATTATGTGAGCTAATATATGTAGGATACCTAGAACAATGCCTGGCACATAGCATTATATGGTCTGTCATTTTCAGGGACAGTAGAAAGAGGAACGTGAGAGAAGTATTGCTGGCTGATTGTGTTATTTCGAGTCCTTCATATAATCAGCCTGCTTGTATCCCCAAACATCTAGGTCACACGAAGGGTGGTTGGAGAAAGGCTAGACACCTCTCAGGTTGCTAGGAAGCAAAGTGTCACTTTCTGTATCTCTGCCCTCAGGACTGGCCCTTAGCCACGTGTCCATATTTTGTTTAGGAGATTAGGTTTGAGCCTGGGCCCTACTACTTGCAAGTTAAGTTGCCATGGGGAAGTCGCTTCACTCTCTGGACCCCAAGGGTCCTGGGTTGCAAAGCACTGCTATTGCTGTCTCCCCAGTTGCCTCCTGGGGAATGTGGTGTGAGGGTCACAGGTGAGCGTGATCGAGAGGCCATTTTGGGAGCTCTGCCGTTTGCGGGGCCTTGGTGCTATTCTCTCTACACAGCCCCCAGGATGCCATCTCGGAAACCCACCTTACCCAGGTTCTGATCTATGATCCTTATCTGAATCCCATGGGGCCAAAAGTGTTCAGGGTCCAGAATATTTCTGATTTCAGAAAGACCACATACTAGGTGGCACCCTCTGGGAGTTCTGGACAACATCCCACAATCATACACACTAATATTTCTGCCGTACCTTATGTGAAAATTCACACTAAATGAGATGAAGACTATGACGTATTCTATATCATATATATTTGCCACCTAATAACCTTTGACGCCGAGCTTGTGAAACTTTGGACTGACTGTTTCTGGAACTGGGAAACTCGGATAAAGCATTTGTGGACCTGCGCGCTGGGCCATTAGTGTCAGAGTGAAGGTCTTATGTACTTTGATGAGAAGGTTTTCATGGGTTATGGTGGAGTAGTATGTGCTCCTTCCCAAGGGACAGATTTATGGTTTACTAAAAGTCACCAGTGTCTGACCCAAAGAAGCTTCAGTGAGAACATATCATGCTTTATAGCAGTGCAGGTCAGGAAGCTGCCTGGGGGTAAGACTTCCCTTGCAGCTTCTTCTGCTCCCACCCTAAACCTAGGGCCTAAGGGTGGGAGCCTTCATAGTACAGTGGGAAGCAGGGCAAAGAAGTAGCGGACCATTTCAGATGAAATGGGAAAAGTGACTTCCCCAGTGGAATCAGAGTTGGTGGAAGTTGTAAACAGGAGTTTCATTTCCCCAAAGTGCTGGGGTAAGTGGAGAGGCAGTGCAGAGAACAAATGGTATTGTCTTGAGGGTTGAGAGAAGATTTGATTCAAAAGATCTGATTCAAAGAAGATATGATTCAAAACCAGCCCCTACCCCGATTTGCATACTTCTCATCATTTCTGTGTGCAATGCCCCTAGGGGCGAGGTATACCTCCTGCAGCCCTAGTCCAGCCAGGTGCGGTGGTATTCCAACATATCCTGCAGGTGGCACAGCTCTCAGTGGGTGGGCTGGCTGTCCTGAGCAAGTGGAATATGTGGGTTGCTATTTACTATGATTGGAGGGGTCCTAGAGGCCTCTCCTATCTCCCAACACTTATCCCCTCTAGCTGTCCTGAAATGTCATACAAGCCTTTCTCCAGGGGCCCCTGGTAAATGGTGCTGGGAGGAGCAATGAAGGAAGCCATCATTGTATCATCATACCCAGGTATCAGCCAAGATTAGCCTCCAGGAAGAGGGTGGGGGGCGCAGGGGAGGACCTCAAGAGGTTTGGAGCAGAGGCCACAGCTCAAGAAGGCAGATCCCTGCCTATGGAGCCTGTAACCAGGCCAGAGCCAGAGGACACCACCCCAGGGTCTGTAGAAGCATGTTAGGAGGGGAAGCTGGGAGTGCCCAGCAGGTGCAACCTGGATCGTTTTCTTCTTTAAGTTAGATTCAGGGTCAGCCATAGAGGCAAGAGAGTAGGGAGCAGGGCCCTGAGGGGCACCCTAGATGACCCAAGAGCAACGCCCTCCCAGCCAAGTTGCAACGGCCACCTGTCCCAAGGCACGGAGAGAATGTTGCCATCTTTCCACCTCTTTTTTTGTTCCTCCCTCTTCCCCAGGATGCTCTTCTGCTACCTCAAGACTTTCTCTGCTGGGATAGTTGGGCGGAGACCTCGGAGAGCCCTAAAACTTCTTTATACTTTTTTTTTTTTTTTTTTACGTTTTGTCTATTTATTAGAGAGAGAGAGAGAGAGTGTGTGCACATGCAAGGTGGGGGGAGGGGCAGAGGGAGAGAATGTTCTAGCAGACTCCCACCAAGTGGGGAGCCTGATGCAGGGCTAGATCTCACAGGCCAGGAGATCAGGACCTGAGCCGAATCCAAGAGTCAGATGCTTAACCAACTGAGCCACCCAGGTGCCCCAAAATCTTCTTTATACTTTTTAAAGGTGTGGGAAGGGAACAGTGAACAGTGAGCTGAGCCCATAGGAGGGAAAGCATTTGCTCAGTCTCTGGTTGGCCCTCTGAAGGGAAATCAGCTTTGCGGGGAAGAGCATTCTGGGGGTCCTACACCCCAGTTCTAGTTCCAGCTTTGCCGCTAACTATACCTTGAGGTCTTGGGGAGGTCATGTCCTTTCCTTGGGCCTCTTCTGAAAAATGATCAGCAAGTATAGGCGATCATTCAGCCCTTAATGCGGACTAGGTCTTTGCTTGACAGACTAGTTAATAGAAAGGCCTATCTGGGTGGGTTCTGGAAGCTGGATAGTATGTGCTTAAATGAGGGTTCTTGCTTTGTTTGGCAGTGCCCCCACTACAACAGTGGGGCAGCGGGGAGGTCATATGGCACAGTGGTTAAGAAACTGGACTTTGGTATCAGCCAGTCCCAGACTTAAACCCTGAGTCCACAATTGACTAGCTGTACTACCTTTGGGCAAGTCACTTTTCTGGGTCTTGGTTTCATCTGTAAAATGGGCTTCAGAACATTTGCCTACATGATAGGGCTGTAGAGAAGGCAGTCCTTCTAAAACCCTTCACACAGTAATGACTGCTCATTAAGTGTTCGGCTAGGGTCAATAAGTCAGTAGGTGAATAAGAACAGGATTGAACGCTAATGTTTTCTTCCAGGCACACTTCAGAAAAGCACAAGCCTTAGCCACCTTAGGCAAGGTGGAGGAAGCACTAAGGGAGTTTCTGTATTGTGTGTCCCTGGATGGAAAGAACAAAAGAGCAAGATCTGAAGCCCAGAGGGTGAGTTGAGATGATGTCAGGTCCAGCTGCCCAGTGGGCTCCCACTTCTCTGTCTTCTCCAAAGAGGGAAGTGAGGGAACTGCCGTCCCTGAGTGGGTGGCTCCCTTGGTCAAGGGGGCAGGAAGGAGACACAAGAGCCAATTGTCTAGAAACACCATCCTCTTGGCATGTGCAATCCGATGGAGCCGTTCCCGCATTTTTGGAGGAGCCTCCGAGGAATACTCTTGCTTCTTCGAGTCCAGGTCTGGGTTGTGAGTAGGAAAACCACCCAAAGCAAACCAGACAAGTTAACATGGGGGTGGCGGCTCACTGATGAGGATCTGGCTGTTGATGGAGAGGTCAGGGCTGCGGGGCGGCCTGGAGTTGTAGAACTTTGCTTTGGCTGAGTCACAGCTTCACCAGCCCCACCGGGTGAGCTCCTCGCCAGGAATGCTAGTCACCATCTCCCCTGCTGTATGCAGAACTCTAGCCTTCAGCCTTCGCTAGAAATAGAACACACACTGTCTCACGAATGTAAGTCAGGGACCATGACTATATAATCCAAGCCGTCATTCCAACTCTTGAATCCCCGGAGAATGTGGTGGTTTTGTTTCGTTTTGTTAATTCATGAAACGTCAGCCCTGCTGAAGGGCTCAAGCATCCCCAGCTCGGGGAGTGCAGTGCTTTCTGCTCCACAGTGTGCTTTCGCGGTGGGGCCAACTGGCCCGGAAGTCGGATGCTGAGAGTCAGTGGTGGCCTCTGCCCTCCTTGTGCCCCTCCCCCTGTCCACCACCTGTCTCAAGTGCCTCTGTCCCAGCGAGGTTTGGCAGAGCCGTGGGTAAAGAAAGGGAGCAAGAGAAGGATTGCTTTCCGAAGGTTCCAGAAAGGAATCTTTAGCAACATCAGTGAACTAGGAGAAGCCGAGCTCTGGAGGTTGCGCCTTGCACAGATTTCTTCTCTGGAAGGTTGCTTTGACCTGGTTTGGAAAAGTGGACAAGGTGTCCTTGAGAGGAGTACTGGTGGCTGAGAATTGCTCCAGGCTGTGAATCTTAAGTGTGGTCCATGGTGTAAATAATAATAATAATAATAACACCTAACATTTATCCAGCATTTCCAGTGCACCAGGCACTATGCTAGGGCTTTCTGTGGAGGATGTAATTTGACCCCCACAGCATTCCTATGAGGGTAGCTGCTGTTACTTATCCCCACGTTACCGAGGAGATAGATGAGGAAGCTGAGGCTTGATGACTTCCCGAGATCCTGCAGCTGGTGACTGCTGAAAAGGCATGTAAGCCCAACTCCATCTGCTTCCAGGGTCTGCCTTCTGAGCCATTCCACCATTCTTCCGTCCCAGGAGGACATGCCAGGGGGCTTGGTGCTCACTGCTGGGGTGGGGTGGAGAGTAGCAGTGGGACCATCCGGTTCTGGGGGTGGGGGATGGCCAAACGTTGGTTAGAAGAATCTTGACTTTGGGGGCAGAGTGTGCAAAGGCCAACAGAGGCAGGGATCAGATCCAGGGGCGAGTGGTCTCTCTACTCCTGTTCACCCATTTCCTACTTGGCCTGAGAGGCTCTGGTGTCATCAGCTGGGTCGGACTCTCTTGCCGGCCACTTTTGTAGACCTGCTAGTGTCACCTCCACAGCCACCTGACGGGGTAGGGGCAAGTGCCATGCTAAGCTCTGGAGACCCAAAGAGGCAAAAGCCACAGTCTCGGTCCTCAAGGACCCTCCAACTCCGCATGTGTTATACGGTGCACTAAAAATGCCGGACAACACAAGGGCGCCTATGCCCATGATGAGTGTCCTGGAGTTCTGAAGCGGGGTGGAGAATTTAGAGGCAAATTTCCACTGACTGTGATGAGGCCGTGGCAGCCGTACACGAACCCCGAGGGCCCTTGGCCTTTCTTACTTACTGTACCATTCCAGTTTCAGGGTTGAAGATTTGACAAAGGTGGTCCAGGTTCACTCGGCAGGAATCGGCTCCCTTAGGCACTCCCAGGCCTAGGTTTCTTTTTAGTGTTTGTTTTTTACCTCGGATTCTTTCTTTCCCCTTCTTGACCCATTCGGGTCTTTCTAAGGCTGACACTGAAGTGGAAATGACTTTCATTCGTGTGGAATGATTACTCTCACTCAGTGTTGACCCCAACTTTGGTTTTCCAAAGCCTCTGGGAAGGTCTAGAACGCGGTCTTAGGTAGTGAAGGGAAGAAGCGAAGTGCTGTTGCTGTTTCTGCCTTGTCTCCTTCAATTTCTCCCCTCTGCCCCCTTTCCCACCCCCGTCCATGCTCTGCCCTTTTAACCTTGTCCCTTGGGATGCTGTGCGGCTGCCACTGAAGAGCACCATGCTCTCTTTTCAAAAGTTCTTCTCTCAGTTCCGGTTAGTTAACACACACTGTTACCTCAGTTCCAGGTGTACAACACAGTGACTCAACACTTGCATACATCAGCGGGGCTCTTCCCGGCAAGCAAGCCCCGTGCTCTTTAGGTGAGAATCCTAGGGACACTGTTTCAGAAGTGGTTGGTCCTTTGGGCCCCTCAGGAGGGCTTCGGAAGGCCAGCTCTGGTTCCTGGGGAGGAGGGGCCTCTGAAAGCTGGCATTTGTGGCCCGGGGCACTGTGAGTACCTCCCCGCCTCACTCCTTTAGCGACAACTTCCACCTGGGAAGTGGGTTTCCCAGAGCTGGAAGGAAACTGCGATCTGTCCGAGGATTTGGGACTTGAACGCTTGGCCTCTGCCTGGGCCCTGGGATGGATAAGTGTCTTAATTCAGTTCCATCCGGGGTGATGAGTATGTACTGGAATGGTCATGGGCCTCCAGAAGCTGGCCACCTGGTTAGAGAGAAACATTCAGATGTGTGGCACGATCTGAGACTCGGGCGAGACCGAGCAGTGTAAGGCGCTCCGTTACGGTGCAGCAGAGAGCTTGAACGGACAAGTGACATCGGGGGGCCCAAGCTGATGCACTGGAGATGGCGCTGGACACTGAGCAGGCTTTGGCTCTGTGGAAAGTGCTGACATCCCAAAGAGCCTCGTGAAGGCACTGCTAGGGGCCAGCAAGGGGACAAATTAAACCGGACAGAGTTTGGTCGGAGTCTCTGTCAGCCTCCCTTGATCAGTTCATACCCTGTTCCCCTAAGCAAGGGCGTGGAGCGCCCTTTGGTGGGTCTCCAGACACCGCAGCGGCTGCCCAATGGTAAACACTTCCATGTGTGCTGGAAGCCAAGCGAGCTGCTTTCTTGTGTTTCGTGTTACGTACAGTATGTCCACGCGTCTGTCTGTAACCCGTGCTGGCACAGGGGAGAATCGAAGCAAGAATGCGGGCAGCTCGTGGGGAAGCCTGCACGAGAACACATATCCTTGACTCCCAGACCCTACTGGGTCTTCTGTGTCTTCACCCGCCACCTCCCCCGCTCCCTACCTTCTCCAACCGCAAGGGAAACCGGCCCCAGACAGGCGCCTGCGTGCCTCCAGTACCTGAAGTTACCCAGCAGTCTCTGCACAGTGAAGGCCAGAATGGGGGAGGAGAAGCTGGGTTCTGCTCTTCCCACCACTTCACTGTGGAAGGGATTAAAGGTCCAAGGAGGGTGGTCCGAGGAGGAGGCGGCAGAATGGGCTGGTAGGGGGAAGACATGGAGGAACCTAGAGGATGTGTGTAGGCTTTCACCCACGGGGCCACTGTGGACGGGACAGGTCCGCCCATGCTGTTTGCCTCCTGCCTTCACCTCTCTGTGTCTTTCCTCCTAGATAGGTCTTGAATTCCCACTGCGGCTATTTCTATGGAATGGTAGCATGGGAGCGATGGCTCTTAACTTGGCTAGGATGACAAAGTCATCTGTGATGCCTTTTTGAGATCCAGATTCTAGGGCCACACTTCAGACCTGGGGGAGCCAGGCGTGGGAACTTTGAACCTGGGGTGTTCATTAGCTCCCCAGGTAGCTCTGGCGCACGCCAAACTGAGGCCCCCTGCCCTGGTATGTTGGGGTCTTTGGTTCCAGGCTGCTTCCCTGGAGTTTCACCCTGCGAGCTGTGTCCCCTGCCCCTGCCTCCCCCTCCCCCACCCCCACCACCCAAGCACCTGTAGAAACATAAGCAGTGAAGTCTTCTGTTTTATGTCACAGCTTCTCCTTAGTTTCTTTTCACCATCAGTCCCGGGGGACTCTCAGGAACATTTTCCCGATATCCTGAAGTTGTTGGCACCTCACCCTAGATTAAAGGAACACGTAGAATCAATGGCTACTGAAGGCACCAGTCATAATCTACCAAAGTTGTCACAGGTAAAACTCAACTCACCCAGCTCGCTCGCGATGCTTCGTTTGGCTGTTGTGTGGGCAAACGCGGGAGTGAGCCCTACCTCTCCTTCGGTTCCTGAGAAGGAAGAAATGGATTCACTAGTGGTTGTGTTCTTTGCTAGAAGGTTATTTCTTACAGATAAAACCGGATTTCAGGCATGGTCCCAGGGGGGTTTGGTTTTATTACCTTCATTTTTTCAGTTCTTGGTCAGATCCAGCTGAGAGATTTGACAGAAGGAAAAAGGAGTTGGCCCGCTTCCCCTGGAACCATTCAATCCAGGCGGCTTTATCAGCTTAGGGGTGGAGCCTGGGAAGAGGCCTAACAACCCCTCCTTTCCTGCTTTTTTTGTTTGTTCAAGCTGCTGGTCTTTGAGCACCAGCTGAGTTCCCTGTGCAAAGACAACCCCATTTGATCCCCAAGTGGAGGTAATTTTATATTCCTCCACGGAATCTTACACATCAGTAGACTTCCAGGACGTAGTCGTAGCTGGGAAGAGGGAAGCAATTTGGGAAGAGTTAAGTCCCTGGGAGGGAGATGGGTATTTGTGCCCATCTTTGGGAACAAGAAAACAGAACCACAGAGGGATGGGCTCTAGGCCCTGGCTTTCTCGGCAGAGAGTAAGTGGGCAGAAGCTGGGGCTCAGAAGTCCAGACTTGAAGACAGAATTTAGCCCTGAAAACCTAGGCACCTTGAGGCAATGGTCTCCCTGCCCGCCCCGATCCTTGCCGTGTGTTCTTTCCCTGTGCGGAAGCCCTGTGATCTCCAGGGCTTCTTGGGTTCTCTGACAGGCAGGAAACTTACATTTTTCCCTGCTTCTCTCCCCGCTCTTAAAAAGGAATAAAATGCAGGCGTGCCTGACTTAAGAAAACAAAAACAAAAAAAGGGGCAGAACCGAGTATCTTCAGAAGTCAGAGAACACCTAGTGCATTTCAGTAATGTTTGAGATCATCAGTAGATGACTGAGAATGCTAACAGTTGCCTGAAGAAGTGCCTGGAGTGACTTCTCACTGCAGCTCAATCAGAAGTGAGGGAAAATAGCACCCCTGGCTTTCCAGGAAGAGCCAGTTGTGGGGAAAGGGGAATTGGGCTTCCACATAAACTTTGCATTGCAAAGCAGTGTACCCCCGTGTGGACAGTGCGTGGGGCTTAGAGAAAGTGGAGGGTGCCACACGGCTCTGGGGCTGCAGATCCCCTGATCTCCCCAGGTTAGAGACTGAGAAAACCCATATCCTTTTTCTCCTCATCTCACCATTCTCTCCCGACTATACACTCCCCATTTTCCGTCTGTCTACCATTTGGAGGGGCTAGGGGTTGAAGGGAAAGAAAACAACATGAGCATTTTGGGACCTGTGGACTATAGATTTAGAGCAGAGTTCAGGGTTCGCCAGATAAATCTGCAAGCACCTTGGCACTGGATTTATTTCTAGATCCATTTTCAAATGCCCTCCCCTGGACAAAAAGTCTTGAAAAGGCTAGAGACATTATTGGTCGTTTTGCCAAGTGACTTGTCTCTTTTTCAGACATCTCACTCAAAATCTAGTCAAAAGAGTAGTTTGTCTTTTGGCTAGTATGACACGGAGTTCTTTTGACTGGTATAACGCAGAGCTCTGGAACCCAAGGGAACTCCGCAGGCCTGTGAACACACCTGTGCCAAAGCCTTAGCGAAAGTCCTTTTGGAGGTGGGGCTCTCAGATGGCCTGAAGTGGCAGAGAGAGCGGCAGGAGATTGGGTGATAGGATCCACGCTCACTGCGTGCCTTGGTTTCCCTCAGGTGGTAACTGGGGACAGATTTGCCCAGGAGAGGGGCAGGTGCCCCACTCTCTATCTGTCCCCTTCACCACAGCCCAAGGTGTCTGTCCTCTATGCGCTTTTCTGTCCTTGCCTAGGGAAGTTCTTCCGTTTCACCCAGACCCGGCATGCCATCTTTGCCGATGCTGCGTGGTCGGAAGTGGGAAGTATGTCTTCTGACTGCCCCCCCACCCCAGTTAAGCTGTGTGTCCACTCAGCGATCAGGGCTCCGTAGTTTTCTCTCTGTCCCCAGTCGGTAGCAGTGTCAGAGGACGATGCTGGTCCTAAGGTGATACTGACATTCGGCTCTTTCTCCGTCCAGGACAACCCGGAGCTCCCACGCTGTTCTAGTCAGGAGGAAGCAGCGGCGGGGGGAGACCGCGGCAGCCTGGCAAACCCAGTTAAAGTAGAGGGGGAGGGGAAGCAAGGCGACCAGAAAGGCCAGGCAGGAGACAAGGCGGAGAAAGGGGACGCGGCCTCTGCAGAAGCTGCCTCCACCAAGGCTGGCAAATGCCACGAAAAGAAAAGGAAGCATTGTCAAATTGAAACCCAAGACCCAGAGGTGCCTGCGAAAGCCTCGAAGCCAGGTACTGACTCTCCCTAGGGAGAAAGGGGCTTGGAGGGGGCAGGGCCGGGACTCACAGGCATCTACGGGTCACTTAGCCTCCATGGGGGGCTCGGCGGGCTCCGCCGACTCTGGGTGTGCGGCCCAGCTCTGGCACTGAGCTGTGCCTCCTCTTTGAAAGAGCCCACATGGTTGTTAGCACACTGTTGGGGTTCACTAATAATAAGGAAAAGCCAAGGCATAAGGTCAGGACCCGTATCGACTACTGACACCTCACGCCCTTGGTGGTGTCGCCTCTTTCCAGGCCCACCTGCCCCTACCCTCGTCTCCATTCTAAGAATGGAGGCACGGGGTGGTGTGACCAGGCCTTGCCCTCCACCCTCCCAGCTGGGTGCCCAGTGGTAGGCATCAGAAGCAGCAGCTGCAGCCTCATGTCTTTCCAAGAGAGGCTGTCAGGGCCGGGATTCAGTACCAGCCTTGAAGACCTGGCTCAGGCCATGGGATTGCTGTTGCTGCTGCTGCTGTGGAGTGAGGTGCCCGCTGCACTGGAGTGAAGTCCCCAGGGCTCTTGGATATTCCCAGACTCACATTTTTCTTCCTGTGGGGCTGCCGGAAGCCTCCCGGAGCCTCTTTCCGGGTATCCCATTCCCGGTGGCTCGGGTGGCCACTGCATCTACCCTCTGGGAGGCAGGGTGAGAGCGGCAAGCTGAAACACCTATGGGGTTCTCTTGCCTCAGAAGTGCTGTCTGTGAAAGTAAGGTTGGTCCATCTCTGACTTACTGCTTTCTAAATCACAGATACTCTGGCTGAGCAGCGGGCCGAGGCTGCTGTCAGTGCTCCACTGCCATCTTCTGTGGATGCGTCTGACCTTGAATGCGCCCTGTGCATGAGGTATGCGATGGGGGCTACCACTTATTGCCCGAGGCTTCTTCTTTTGGGGAGTCCGGACCTTTGGGCTAGTGACCTATGTTCGGTTGGTTAGCATGGAAAAGCATGGTTCTAACAATGAAAATCACGCTGCTGTTGGTCACGTGGGCTAGCTTGTGTCCCTTGCTTACAGGTTATATTCCCTACACTCCTGACTTGGAGATACCTAAAGAGGGGGAAGGAAATGGTCTACCCAGAGCTCACAGACTCAGGGCCATACTCTGAATGTCTTTGGTTTGGCCTTCATGGTTTTTTTTTTTTTTTTTTTTTGGTTGTTGTTAAATGTGAATGTTTAGAGAGAGGACAGACACTCTCTAGTTGGCCATGGTTCCCCTGTCTCTCAATTGCCTGTGTCTCATATTTGCATAATTTTCCTGGTACCTTGTAGGTATTTGAGTTCATGACCCTGGAACCAGTCTCGCCTACCAGATCAAGATCCCAAAGCTCAAGGGCTAATGTCAATGCCATAGGGCTCTTCTTTGGAAGCCAAATGGTTTTCGTTTTGAACAATATCAGTAGCAGGCATGTACTACTCGGCCAGGCATCCCTTCTATACCCAGTGGGGAAGCGAATTACCCACACACCGGCCCACCCCCCTTGGGAAAAAGGAAGCTGGTACAAGCTTGGGCTGTGTGAAAAAAAGGACTTTAGTTCGGTTCCTTTCACAGCTGTGACTTTGTGGCTACGAGGAGGCGCTCCAAAGCCAGATGGCCTGGGCTTGAACCCTGGCTCTGCCACTTAATGGCTGTTTGACCTAGAGCAAGTGATTTTTCTCTGCCACTGTTTTCTCATCGGTAAAATGGAGAAGAGTAGTACCCAGCCTATGAGGTTGTTATGATTAACCGAGAGAATCTATTTAAAACACACTTAGAATAGTGCCTGACATAGTAGATACTCCATGTATGTTAACTCTTTTTCTAGACCAGAGATTCTTTAAGTCCACGGACCCCTGAGGAAGTTCTTTGTATGGATTCTAAAAGATCTGTGAATTCCCTGAAGTTGTATGTAAAAATGTGTATGTGAGAGAGAGAGAGAGAGAGAGAGAGTGTGTGTGTGTGTGTGTGTGTGTGTGT